ATAGATAGATAGATAGATAGATAGATAGATAGATAGATAGATAGATAGATAGCTAAGGTAAAAAGAGATAGATAGATGATAGATAGATAGATAGATAGATAGATAGATAGATAGATAGATAGATAGATAGATAGAATGACGGATATAGATAGATGATAGATAGATAGATAGATAGATAGATAGATAGATAGATAGATAGATAGATAGATAGATAATTGTTAGAAAGAAAATGGTAGAAGGGCTACCTGTCCTCCCGGTACATCAGAGATGGCTTCCAAGTTTTGTTCTTGGCTATTTCTGGCCGCACGAATTAACCCTATCCACTCCGAGGCTGGACCCCCTGCTTCATCCACCAATTCTCCTCTCACGAACCGCACCTGCAGGTCAGAGAGGAAGTCTTATTAACTCAATAAAATGGTCCATCGCAATACATTCCAAAATTATTACAAGCTGACATCCCATATAAACGAATGAATAAGCTCATGTAAATATTTGCCAAAGCTTTTAACCCACTCATACCTCTGTTTCTATATTCTTTTATTTCTGACCTAAGATCTCTAGGAAACAAAAACTTGATTGAAGTCAGTCCCTCACGCCCAAAGGGACTATATAGTAAAATACCATATCAAGGGCAATGAATAGGCATGCAATAAAAGTCATAAGAACAATGCAAACTAATGTGAGAACCCAATGGAGCCAAATGACGAGAAATACATTTGCGGGGGTCTGGCGGAGCGTTTAAAAACAATTAAAAGACATTAAAAAATCAAAGCGGAACGTGTGACAAAAGCCATGGATTTGAACTCTTTGTAGACGATGGCAATCATTTACTATTTTAATAAGCCCTCGTGTATTCTTCATCTTTGGTGATAATTTAAAAATATATATTTTTATAGTTGAGGTATTAGTTGACTTCATTTAATTTAGATTAATGTATACCTTTTATAATACATTATTAAAGACTTCGTTGGGATTATGCATCAGTCATATTGATCAGTTACAATCGTCATTAACAATTAATTATTTCATGCCAATGATGTTATTAGTGTTCATTAAATAGAGAATATCCCCATTTCAACCAATAGTTACAGAAAATAAAAAGTTTTTTAATAACGAATTTGCTCATCTGATTAGATGATATTTTCTCCAATTTTTCTAATCCAGTTAAATATTTATTTCTAATATTTATAAAAGGTTTCAGTAATTCGCGTTTTCAGTCCATCCTGAGATCCTGACTTTGAAAGGATATCCATATTTAAAAGTGGTTGACAGTGGGAAATCCTAGGTTTGGTCCCTGGCACGATCCAAGAAATGCCAGTGAAATTTCAGAAGGACCAGTGTATGTCTTCCAGGATGGAAATACCTTTTTTTTGGGTCCAGGTTCTCTGCGGTCTGTCAGGTACTTCCCCAGTTTGAAGATGCCCACCACTGGACCCAGGCGCAGTCCGGCTGGGACGTTGGTGTCCGCGCTGACGCTGGTGGCAGGAGCCCGGTTCGTGTGCATTGCTGCCTGTAGGTATGAGCAGTCAGGGACCCCAAGTAGCACTCAGGGTTGGAGTGACAGAGGAGAGAGGAAAAGGAAGGACAGCACTCAGGCGTATCTCCGCCCGCAGAGTGACGCTGTGCTCTGTGCACGCTGGCTTTTTCTATGGGAGGGCTACCCCCTTGGCACGATGATGCTCTAGGGCGCAGAGTTTGGTGAGAGAGTTGAGCTCTTCCAGCAGCTGCGGCGTTTCATCCAAAGAGGGTCACATGGAGACTTTCCCTAACCCTTCTGCATAATCAGCTCCCATGAATGGGAACCAAACAATGGTCCAGGCGACCTTCCCATTCCTAAAAATCCAATTTGTCAAGGGCAAAGAAAAGGCTCCGCTGAATCAAAGGTCTGGAGGGACCATTAATCCTCAGCATGGGGTATTGTCCCCAAGACAGTTACGATATTTTAAGTGACAAATCCACTGTATAATTTCGCCATAAATTTGACTCGCCCTTATTGTTCGCCGACCAACCAGTCCCGCAAAAATAAGGGACTGTTTTAAGTCTACTTGGCTGATCCTTTTCACGTTTAATAGACTTCAAAGATGTTGGATTCTCTTCCCCTTGGCTGTAGCGCAAAAGGACTGGTTAACAAAGGGACCAGGAATGTTTGAGGTCATACAACTTTACTTTTAAAGAATGAGCACTTCATTTGGTTGGCTGGCTGGGAGAATAACTTTGTTCACATAACAATCGCCATAGTATGTCCCCTGTCACAAGATTTCTGATGGGGACAGGTGTTTTTATTAAGCTATCAGTAACTAAAATGACAACGATTACTTGTATCCTTTCAAAATAATGAGGATCTATTGAGGATGACCTATGGTTATATAAACATGTGTAAAGATCTTTAGAAGAACATTGTAAGTGGTAATACTTTCATGATTTATACTAATGTAGGGCATTTGCACCTTTTTGGAAACATATGCTCAGTGTATAATACAATTCAGTCATATAATATTCATATATAATACAATTATATGCCATAGTGAGCAGTACACAGGTGCTGGAGAAGGAGGTGATGCCACCAAATCAGTGACAGTAAAATGGACAACACACACACCAGATGTCTATTTTTCAAAGAATAGATATTTTAAAGCATTTTATTTTAAAGCATCAGACGAATACATAGAACTGCAATGAATGATTTTAACAAAATGGTTACAATTTCTTCACATGCTCTGCATCTATCTCGTGCGCTTGTTCATGCACCAGGATGATACCTGACATTTGTTGCAGGGGGGTTTGCAATCTGTAACATTTGCAAAAGCATATCTACAAGTATAATTGTGTTAAATGTGGAATGGATATACGGTAGATGTCAACCTTAGCCAGTATATTGCTGTCATTGTGCCGATTGCATGGGATGAACATCTGCAGAAATTTAGTGTTACAATATTGCTTTTAGTTTGTCTAGAAACTTTCTTATGATCATCAAATGATAAGCGGAAAATATTACAATGTTAATTCCCTAGCAGTATAGCATATCAGTAATCAGCACCTGTGTGGATGGGATGAAGTGTGCTGTGCGGAATTATAAATTAATATACAATATAATACATGTATGTTTCCCTTTGTTTTTTCTTTTTAAAAACAACCATAGTATTAAAAAAATAGCTGTTCATAATGCCAGAAATCCAGTGAACCCCTAAATTTCTGTTTGAGCTGACATCTCTGTTGCACTGAAATCTCAGCCCATTTATTTTATCAGCCCTGCATGTGTTCTCTCTTCTGGAGCACAGAGCACCTCAAACACCTCCCTCTTATGTTAGGGAGAAGAGGGACATCTCCCCCTTATCTTAGAGAGATGAGGAAAAAGAGAGGTATTCTGTAGTCTAACATTCTGTATTCTATTCTTTGCAGGGCTGGCACTGCTTAGGATTTCATTGTTGTCAGCTCAAACAGGAAGTTAAGAGCACACTGGGTTTCTGGCAAACCAACAGCTATTTTTCTGCACTTTCAGAGATGATAAAGGAAGTAAACAGGGAAAATGTGCCTGTATTGCAGAGATACACTGAATATACTGTTATTTATTTTGGCCAGACATACACTTTAAGGAGTGTACTTTTATAGAAGAGAAAACAAGTAGCAATTTAGAAATAGCAAGTGCAATCATTGCATATGTTATAGTATGTATAACACAGTTTCGGTTCACTGCTATCATGGGTTTGGTGAGACCTGTTTGTGCTTATAGAGACTTGAGGAAATAATGGGGAAATTCACCATAATACCCATAATGCAGTGCCTGGTCTTTGAACTTAGGTCAGCTGGCGTTTGGATAAACCAGCTCTCTCACTATAAGAAGGTGGGTTCCAAGCAGCCATATTGACAATGTGCTATAGGTGTATATATGGAAAGTATAGAGAATGTTACTTATAAAATATATAGGAAGATATTAGTGTAGGGCTTGTAAGCAGTTGCAGGTCTGTTAACATAGATGTAAACCCTCACTGAATATCACCTAGGTAGCAACATGTGTATATTGGAGAATTTCAATAGGCAAGGCATTTTTACCTTTTTTTCTTTATCGTTTGTTACTTCTCAATGCTCCTGCTGTCCTGCAGCTTCTTTACAGCCTGCCCCTGTCCACATGCACTACAGTGATAGCAGGCTGCATGTGTTTTTTCACAGGGCATATTTCCTAATGGTTGCTGGCTGCAATCATTTTTTCAACAGCCTTTTTTAAAGTGGACCTTCCATTACAATGGATGGGCTGCTCTACTGAAAACCCTGCACACCCCAGAGTTAAATTTCCTGCATAGGCACATTAAAAGTGATGGTGGGTGGAAAAATGTTTAACGTAGGACATGAACTAGAGAATGGGGCTATTTATGTTGGTATGAAAGCAGTTAAAGTTCCAAGCATGCATTCAGGCACTGGACATGAGTTGGATTTAGAGCCATTTTCGTCTTTCGCTCCAGCAAACACCTGGCATGAGAAGGTTTTTCACTGAAGATGATGGGATGGGTGTTGGCAGGAGCTGCTTTGGATTTCAAGGCTTCACTCTTGGAAAGGATGGACATAGGATGGTATGCTTAATGTTTACTGCTGCCTGTCATTCCCCTCTATCCCTGGATAAATACTTGCAGGAAAAGTCTAACAAGGACCAAAGGGGATTAAAATGTGTCTCTCACCAAAAGTGGTGGTCCCACAAAATCCAACTGGGACACCATTCACAGTTGCCATTATTTTGACCCAGTTTGCATTGCCATTCCCACCTGTGTTTGCTTGACCATGGTAGGGACAGCCTTACAATGAAAACATTTTTTTTTTTTTTTTACAAAAAGTCTAATAAAACTTTTTGAATATTCAAATAAGAAAAGTGAAAAAAATTGTAAGGGGGCTGGGAATAGATTAGCGCGGGGCCACACATGCTAGGAACTTTACGTTACTACAGGAGGAGTTGCAGTATATGTTTTCTTAAATGATAACATCAAAACCTTTGTGATAGACTTTCTGCAGCAGGTCTTTGTTACATGTGATTCAGGGGCGCATTAGTCTCTCTTACCACTATACTATGACCACTGCTGCTATTTTCTTTACTTACCCAGCATGTTATGTCAGTTATGCCTAACAACTCATCAGATACAACAAACTACAAGTGATCAATTCTACCAGTAATAGTAACACCGCACAATAAAAAAATATATATATTCTTTCTTTATTAAAACAGCCAGCAGAAACAAGTTCTTTTCCGATGCATTTTATGATAGGAATCTGTTCCCGCTGGCTGTTTTGAAAAAGAAAGGATATTATTTTGCATCTCAGTTTGAGGTGTTCCTGTTGCTAGTACAATTGAGTGCTTCAGTGGAAACGAGCCAAGGCAGCATTTGAGATGTAAATATACACTGTGGAGCCTGATCTCACCTTGAGCAGCATGTGGTATGTTTAGTGTTGAACAGACTGCAAATGGGCGGATTCTTCTGCAACCTGCCACAAACAGAACTCAATGAGGTAGAGGAGGAGACGGTGGTGGAGAAGGGGGAAAAGGAGGTGGAAGCAGAGTAAGAGCACACATCAGCAATGCTCTCCATGCACAAAGAACTTGGACAAAGTAGAGTTCAGGCCACCGAACCTGGGGGTGATTAGCTTATTTTTGCTTTTGTCTGCTGCCATCTGGAGCTGTACTGTCTAGCCACTGTACAATATTTGTGGCTATTGTCTCTCAAATAATACACTCTAGTTTCTATTTCAAGATCAAATCTGTTCTTCTTATATTGTGACCTAATTAAGCTGCTTGTATACTGTCCAGCCACTGAATAATATTTGTGGCTATTGTCTCTCTGATAATACATTCTCATCTTTATTGTAGCATAAAACCTGCTGTGTCTTTTTCTAATTGCTGCCTATTCAAATGCTTGCATACTGTCCTGATGCTAGCCAATTTCTATGAAACTCAATTCGCCTTTTAAATATTTTTGAGAATAATTAGGAATATGGGGGTGGGAGGGGGCTAGGGAAATGCTGGCTTGTGGTTTTCTTTTCTTTTTTTGTATACTCTGTTTTGACATTTTGTTTAATTCGTAAGATAATGCAGTGTGGTACTGCGAAAAAAGAAGCTCACAAACTACACTACAGAACTGTTTTGCCACTGGCCGATTTGTATGAAGTTAAGGGCTATAGTTTTTTTATTCTTTAAAGAGTAAACCTTTCTATAGTCCACTGGATAAAAGGTGATCAGGTGTTACAGCCAAAACTACCAAAAAGCTATTTTCTTAATTTAAGTTTAAATTAACCAGCTTGGAGTGCTGGTTAAATTAACCAGGCTATGATGCAATAGCTCTGCCTTAACCCTTTTGTGTTATCTGACGGCTGTGATGCTAGAGTCCCAAACTCCCCGCTAAGATTGGGAGTGACGCCTTAGACTCAAGCCTGAATAGCCGTCTCTACGCACCACCCTACTACTAACCTCCACAGTTGTGATCCACTCCTTGTACCTACAGCAAGCATGACAGTTTGTTGCTTAATTTGCAATTCAAACCTGGGCAC